TTTAACTTCTTTCGCTCCTCTTAGCTCTCCTGTTAACCCAGAAAGATACCCACTGAGTGTTACCTGAGTATTCTCCTCCTGTTCCTCACAGACTTTGCTTCAGAAACTGGCTCACTGCAAAACTAGCAAGTTCACTTAGAGAGAACGCAGGTCCCGTGTGACAGGGACCTTGTGTGAAAGCAAATGACTTGAGATTTGGGTTCAGTGCTCTCCATTTGTGTCTGACTTTGGGAGGCAAGAGACTCTATGTTCAGCCTCCATCTGGATAACATGGTATGAAAATAACTGCCCGAGCTGTGAAAATAGAATGAGAGAATGCCGGTGAAGAACACAGAGGCTCCCCTGCCTGCTTGCATCTGCCTTTGAGCTGCAAGTCCTGTCTGCGTCTACAGGAAAACAGACTAGAGTGACTGGTCTCATTCCACGACCATGCATTTACAGTTAAAAATACACAAACTCTTCTTGCTGTTTATCACATTCTCTAGTCTCACGTTCTCACACTTTTTTATTTTGGTCTCAGAAGATGCCTTTTCTTATTTCAGTGTAAAAAAGTACAAGAACTCAGGAACGAAATCTCAAGCCCTCTTCCCACCACTCTCACCAACTTGCTTGCGTCTCTGTGTTTATCGCTCTTTGAGGAACTGCAGATAATACTGGACATATTTTTGTTCTCTTCCACCACGAAAATTTAACTCCTAAGGGGTAAAGGCTTTCCCTGTTTTGCTCCCTATTGCATTTTCAACCCCAGTATATGGAGCCTATTTTTCAATAGTCACCTATCAGGATGATCAATTAATAAATGTACAACGGGTGGTAAATACTCAATCAGCAAAATCTGTGACTGAAATGGTTTTTTATCTAGATTTAATTATCAAGTGGAGCAGACAATGACCATTCAATACAACATATTTAGTAGCAACATACTTAGCGCGCACACACACACACACACACACACACACACACACACACACACACCACAGTGAGCACAGAAAGAGGAGGCAGGTGTTCATTAATGCAAATACTCTTTAGTCAACTTTTGGTTCTGTTACTTTCTGAACAGTTTTAAATTTATACTGACCTTATTTATCGCTGAGACTAAATACATCAATACTTAATAAACATTAATCTCAGTGACACATACAGAAAATTCTTAAAGAAGTGGAGATAAAAGAGCAGCCCGATCTGCTCTTTGATCACCTCCCCCTGAGGGGGGAGCAGCCTTACCAGGCCACAGAAGATGACAATGCAGCCACTCCTGATGTGATCTGATAGACTAGGATCAGAAGGAAAGAGAGGAGGACCTCCCCTATCAGTGGACTTGGGGAGGGGCATGCGTGAAGAAGGGGGAGGGAGGGTGGGACTGGGAGGAGAGAAGGGAGGGGCTCATGGGGGGATACAACGTGAATAAAGTGTAATTAATAAAAGTAAAAGAGCGGCCCGAGAGTGGAAGAAGTGTATAGGATGAAGGACACGATGTGGCAGTACAGTCTACACGTGGTTGATAGTAGAGCTGGCACCGTGTTTCATCACCCCACACCTGGTCAACAATGGTTTGGGCTTATATCACACGAGTTAGGCAACTGTACCATGGCATTTCTTGCTAATTAAAAAGAAAATCACACATATGTGATTCTTGCTTTTTGACAAGATCTTGTAAATATATTCACTGCACGAAACCAACTACTTTTCCTGAACTATAAGAAAATTAAGTAAACATAGTTTTCCCTGAGGAAACATGCTCTGTACAAATACTTTCTAAGTAAAAGTAGATCGGAGAGGGCTCTGACAGCTACTTGTGAGTTTTCACTTCATGAGGCGTGTACCTTTTAAACAAAGAAGGGATTCTAGCTATGGACAGAGCAGTTACCATCTATAATGATGCACATGGCAAAGAACGTTCTGCTGTAAAGGTGGCATGGTAGTTGAGAGTCAGTGATTTTTGGTATGAAATGTTCTCAGTTTTCATTGTTGAAAAAATAAAACAGACTGGCTCAATAGAGAGATTTTCTTAAAAAAAAGATTTCTTTTTTATAAAACATCTCAATTTTTTTGTGCTGGAGAGTTGGCTCAGAGGTTAAGAGCTGAAGAATGAATGAAATGGTATACCTAAACTCTATGTTGGGAAAAACAAAACAAAACAACAACAAAAACCCAAAACCTCACCCTTACCTGCAGTCTGTGGACCAAGCAGTATATGTAAACTGTTTCTTAGTTTGGCCTTTGAGTCTCCTCTGTTGTCTAGTAACATTCGCTTCACCAGTTTCTAGCTCACTGTACTTTCCTAAATTCATCTTTTTATTTTTCACTTCTGTGATTTTCTGTACATCCTTTTTTTCTGTGGAGATTTTCTTCTTTCTACCCCTCCCTGACAAACTATTCTGCAAAAGTCAGTGTGAGTATCAACCTCTCATTTCTTCCTATTCTTTGCTTTATGTCATCATTAACCCTCAGCACATGGTCTTAATGTACTTAATGTATTACATGTCTAGGCCTTCTTTTTCACCTCGGTATTTCCTTACACAGGTCCCTGTACAAAGTAGATGCCAAATGTCTGTGGAGCTCAACGGACACCCATGAGGGAAAGGTTGTTATTCACATCTTCCTTTCGGCTCTGAGGGACAGTCTGGTCCTGTCCACAGCTGATTGTCATTTATCTTGTCATTTTGCACTTGGCAGCCTCTGCCAAGAGAAGGAAAGTGGTGTGCATCTGGACTCCAGATTTCATAAGCAATGTAGGCCTCATTCCAAGGGAGAAGCAGAGGAGGAACTTTGCTACAGGGGCTAAGAAAGCAAAGAGCTTTCACCAATGAAACTCACTTTGTTTACATGCTTTAGAGGATTAATATTTGAAAACACATTGGAGGAGGGTATCAAATTCTACAGGCAAAAATCCATTCAACCAATACTCTAAAAATTGCCCATTGGCTTCTTCTTTCACCCATCAACTGCACAGCTTGGAAATATATTTAAAAGATTAATCTTGTGTTAAAGCACTAAAACATTTTCCAGTGTCTACCAAGTGGCCAGTTCTTATGTTATTCATGCTCTCAGCCTGTCACTGTGACCAGCTTTTTCCACTACTCAATGAAGTCTGCTATCATTTCCATTTGCTACTGCCTGATAGGCCTGAGGACTTGAAGCTATAAAAATAAACCCTGACTTGTCAGGAAATATTAATGGAGGATATGTGGCTGCTCCTTTTCCAGCATTTAAAAGCTTAAGCTGTGATAATAAAAATGTTGACTTTTACTTCCTGAAATGACACAGAGAAGTACTTAAAGGCAATGAAAGCAAAATCCAAATAAGTTGCAAAACCAGGGCAGAGTTAAAGGAAAAAAAAAAAGAATATCAGAAGCATCTAAAATAATAATTTAAAAAAAACACTGAAGGTGTTTCTATTTGATCCAGACAATGGCTATGAAATTATGCTATTGTAGATGCAACCCCTCCAAAGGATCCAGAAACACACTCTTTGAAGGAATGTGGGAGAAATAGTTTTCTTTATATACTCGTCTATTTTCAAGCACCTAGCAGGGATAGATAAAGAAGAATGGATTCTTGGATCAAACGCAACAGTGGAACAAATCCTTATCAGCTGTCACAGTGGTGAAACCAAGCACTTAGAGTTGAATTCTTGACAAGACAGGCCTGTGCTTCAAGAGAAGGGGAAACTCCAGTACTCTGTGATTGATATCACAGGAAAAAGTAAAGCTCCCCGGCAGGTTGATTAAGTAAGTAAGTAAGTAAGTAAGTAAGTAACATCTCCACTTCCAGTGAACTGCTGTAAGACTAGTTTTAAACTCCCAGACAGTTCTTACATATGAGGGAGCTCCAGGTTTAGAAGGAGTAAAGGACGTCATTTAGTGTAAGACTCAGAGTTCTTAAGAGAGGTGGCAGATAATTCAGCCAAGTGACCACTTTCTGAAAGGGTTAGGGATCTGATAAATGTGGCTGACACAGAAAAGAAGGTTCAGGGAAATGTGCCTGTCTAGTGTGCTTGAGGAAGTCCGGGTTCTAACAGCAGGTAAAGATCATGTGAGTTAGAGTTTGCCTTTGACCCACATAATCATATGTAATAATCTATAGACCTTATGTAATCATGTGTAATAGTATGTACAACATATGTAATCATACGTAATAATCTGTAGAACATATGCAACCATATGTAATGATCTGTAGAACAAGGTAGAGTAAATCAGAGACCTTCCCACCCTAACAAATGCTTCCACTTGTTCTGTATTATTGTGTATAATTAGAACTTTTATTTTAAATCACGCAGTTGTTTTTTTTTTTTTTTTTTTTTTTTAGCATTTGTTTTGCTTCTTACCTGAGAGGTAACATCCCCCTTTGAAACTGAATTTTCATCTTTTGGTAACCTCTAAACATTTTTCTGCTCACACATTCTCTGGAGACCCAAATCAATGTTCTCTAGAGAAATGAGCTTGCAACTTAGCCTCAAGTGCAAGCTGAATTCTGTGCTCCTTATTTCAAAGCTTCATTGCTTATGTAATCTCATCATGAATACCAGGGTAGGAATTTATGCTGTCTTGGGACTTTAGACATCATGAAGGAGGGCGAGCTATCTCTTGTTTGTAGTGAACAGAGGGCAAACCTGGTTCTCTCAGCCTTAACTTCAGAGGACGATGGCTCAAGCCCGCTGTACCTTGTCCCACTAGCGCTTTAAAAGATCAACATCTCCCCTTTTCCTCCTTTTCAGTTTGGCTCAAACGATCTGTGCTGCTAACAAGTCAAGCATTCCTCATAAACTACAATATTATTTCAACCAAGATGGAAGGGACTGAGTTTGCCCCTGAGCAAATCCTTCAGAAAGTGAGAGATATAAATATTAATTACATTGATTTAATCATTGTGTAATATATGTATATACAAACTCCCGAAACCATGACCCACAAATTCAGTTAATTCAAATAATAGTATTTCTTTTTAAATAATTATTTCTGTAAGATTTTAGTATAGACTGAAGCCCATGGGAATATTACCTGGTAAAAACAATTCTCCTTGGAGTCTTGCTCTGGACTGTTGGGAAAAGCATCTTTTCTTCAGCCAGTTAGCTTCAAATTCACTGTAATGCTCATTGGGCCACGTGATATAAACCTTGTAACACAGAAAGTAATTATCATCTATTTGTACATTGCATAGCTATATACTTACTTCCGTATTATGCAATTGTTTTTTAAAAATTTTATTTATATATTTATTTATTACAATTTATTCACTTTTTATCCCTGCTGTAGCCTCCTCTCTTGTCTCCTCCCAGTCCTGCCCACCCTCCTTCTTCTCCCCTTGTGTTCTTTCCCCTATTTCCATGATAGGGGAGGACCTCCTCCCCTTCTTTTCTTTTTTTTTAGTAATTTATTTTTTTATTAATTGCAGTTTATTCATTTTGTATCTCAGCTGTAGCCCCCTTCCTCATTCCCTCCATATCCTACCAACTCTCCCTCATCTCCTCCCATGCTCCTCTCCAAGTCCACTAATTGGGGAGGTCCTCTTCCCCTTCTATCTGACCCTAGCCAATCAGGTCTCATTAGGAATGGCTGCATTGTCTTCCTCTGTGGCCTGGTAAGGCTGCCCATACTCCTTCAGGAGGAGGTGATCTAAGAGCCCTCCACTGAGTTCATGTCAGAGACAGCTCCTGTTCCCTCTACTAGGGAACCCACTTGGACACTGAGCTGCCATGTGATACATCTGAGCAGGAGTTCTAGGTTATCTTCGTGCATGGTCCCTGGTTGGACTATCAGTCTCAGAAAAGACCTCTGTGCCCAGAGTTTTGGTTCTGTTGCTCTCCTTGTGGAGCTCCTGTCCCCTCCAGGTCTTTCTATCTTCCCCTTCTTTCACAAGATTCCCTGAACTCTGCCCAAAGTTTGGCTATGAGTCTCAGCATCTGCTTTGATACCCTGCTGGGTAGAGTCTTTCAGAAGCCCTCTGTGGTAGGCTCCTGTTCTGTTCCCTGTTTTTACCTTCTTCCAATGTCCACCCTCTTCCCTTTCTGAATGAGGATTGATCATCTTGCCTTCTTTTTGCTCTGCTTAGGGTCCTTCTTCTTGCTTAGCTTCTTTAGCTGTACAGATTTTAGTATGTTTATCCTATGTTATGTGTCTAATATCCACTTATACCTGAGTATATACCATATGTGTCTTTCTGCTTCTGGGATACCTCCCACAGGATAATTTTTTCTAGTTCCCACCATTTGCCTTCAAATTTCAGAGCCTACTTTATTGGGTCTCATCAAAGCTGGCTGCATCATCTTCCTCAGGGGGAGGAGATCAAAGATCAAGCCACTGAGACAGCCACTGTACCCCTTACTAGGAAAGCCACATAATCAATGAATTCAATTAAACCTTACTCTCCCTTTTCCCTGCAGGTCAAAAGTCTACTTCTGATGCCTAAGGCTAATGAGATAATATGTTAGAAATATATTTTTAGTAACATGAAAATTTTGCTTTGCATGTTCTAAATATGTATCCCTCAAAATTCCTATAAGAAGGCGTGACTACTAATAGTGAGGACTGAGAACAGAGAACTGAAGCTGAGAGGACAGGAGAATGGGGAACGTTTGGGCTTTCTGATTACATTTGTTCTTTCGGAGAGAATATGTAAATAAGAAAGAAAGAAATGTATTTGATCCCACATGTGGTTGATTTTGAGAGTGATGCTTTTAGAATGTGAATTCTCACAAACCTACTCCCTAGTTTGGATAAATAATACTAATTGATAGAATTTCTGAATGAGTGCCCTGTGCCAGGCAATATGATAAACATTTCCAGCCAGATTATCTCATTGAATCCTGAAATTTCTCTGAACAACTTCTGCACTTTTCCAGTTGGATAGAAGAGTAAACTGAGTACCAGATGCACTATTTATCTGATATAAATAGTATGATTGTGTTTCAAGGCTGCTTTTACATTAGAAGAAAAAAAGGGAAATTTGCATATTTTATTAAAATGATAGTAACAAAAGGCAACAAAATTATGTACTCTGAAGAGAAACCAGATTATATCAGCAAACTATGTTTATATATTTATATGTGTATATATATATGTAACAATACTAAAAAAAAAAAAAGAGGCCACCAGTATGAGAGGAAGTGAGGGGGATATGGAAGGTATTGGAAGAAGGAAAGGGAAGGAGACAGGTGATATGATTAAATTTCAGTTAAAATACAAACTGCACCTAGTAGGAAAAACAGCAGTGATAACAACAGCAGGTCCTTCCACTGATTATGCCTACTCTATACCAAATGCTGTACAAACATGTCCCTGGAGAGGGTTTGTTCTATATATGAGCTAAAGAAGAGTTATTTACATCATTACAGACTAACCCCTTGATTTAACTCAAAAGAGAAGGGAAAGACCATTTAGAGGTAATTACCTTTTCCCGGTTAAATGCCAAGTCTTTGATTCTAATGTTCACGTCGAGAGCTTCCAGGAGAAGTTTCCGAGCTTTTGCAGAATGCAGGTAGCAGTCTGAGCACTGGCAGTTGTCTCTCAGCCATACTGCGGGGTAGAGGGATTCTGCCCCGTCATGCCAGACGATCTGCATCACATGAGCCCCATCCACTGCTTCTGCCTTTAAGATGGCACAGTGCATGTTTCTGGTCTTTGGCGATAAATTCTACCAGCTACCTGCTAGGACAAGTCAGTGTTAAAAGTAATAAGCCCAGCCTCTACAATAATGCAAGTGGACTCTGGCCTCTGTTATCCACTCAGGAGTGTGAGCATGAGGTTCGACCAGAGCTGGGACCTTTGTTCTGATTAGAGTATTTCACATGTTGCAAACAGAAACAGAGTGACTAGCTGTAAGATACAAATGCCACATAGAATCCAAATGAAAAGAATTCCTTGTTCTCTTAACAGAAAGTTTACTTGGTAAAATGAGAACCAGTGACATGCACTAGGCCTCAAGTGTGTTTGCATGCTTGAGAACTCACACCTATGGTTTTTTTTCCTGTTTATTTATTTGTTTTTTAAAATTTATTACAATTTATTCACTTTGTATCCCAGCTGTAGCTCCCTCTACACTTTTCTTAAGCACTAATGACAGGAGAGAATTATTATGCAAACTATTCATTAAAATTACAATTTATTTAAACTTGGCGATTTAGCACGTGAGTCTGAAGAGAGCTGTAGCAAGTCTAAAAACAGCTCTGCTTGTAGAACAGATAGCACACTTAGTGTTATAGATGAGAAGTGGTGAAGGTTGCAGATGGGGGAGGGTTTCCATGTGCTGAGTTTGAAAGAACGATGGTGAGTCCACTCAGCAACTTTGAGATAGCACAAGTAGACTGGTAAGTAATATATAACACATGGACATAGAAAGAAAAAGAAAACCTAAAGAGATGACTCAGTGGTTAATAGTGTAACTGCTCTTGCAGAGGACCTTGATTCATTGCCTGGAATCCATGTCCAGTATTTCATACCAACCTGTAACTTCAGCTCCTGGGACTCCAACAGCTCTGGCCTGCTTGGGAACCCGCCTTCACCTATACATATCCACACACAGGCATGTCCACATACACATCATTAAAAATGAAATAAACTCTTTTACAAAAGAGAAATAGCACAATTTAAAAAAAAATTATGTCAGGAATCACTAAATACAAAAGGACTGCTAGATTGTTAAGTTTGTAAGGCAATATAACTTTTCTTTTGTAGTCTTAATATTTATTTATTTATTAAAATTTATTCACTTTGTATCCCAGCTGTAGCCCCCTCCTCCATTCCCTCCCAATCCCACCCATCCTCCCTCTTCTCCTCCCATGCCCCTCCCTTAGTCCACTAATAGAGAGGTCCTCCTCCCCTTCCATCTGACCCTAGCCTATCAGGTTTCATCAGGACTAGCTTCATTGTCTTACTCTGTGGCTTAGTAAGGCTGTTTCCCCCTTAGGTAAAGGTGATCAAAGAGCCAGACACTGAGTTCATATCAGAGACAGCTCCTGCTCTCCTTACTGTGGAACCCACTTGGACACTGAGCTGCCATGGGCTACATCTGTGCAGGGGTTCTAGGTTATTTCCATGCATGGTTCTTGGTTGGAGTAACAGTCTCAGAAAAGACCCCTGTGCCCGGATTTTTGGGTTCTGTTGCTCTCCTTGTGGAGCTCCTGTCCCCTTCAGGTCTTTCTTTCTTCCCCTTCTTTCACAAGATTCCCTGCACTCTGGCCAAAGTTTGGCTATGAGTCTCAGCAACTGCTTTGATACTCTGCTGGGCACAGTCTTTCAGAGACATTCTTAACTTTAAAACCCCATTTAAAATATAACAACTATTCTTAGCTCACGGCATGCATAAAAGTTGTCTTTGAAACATTTCTGGCCAAGAGCAGTGGTGTGTCTGTCCTTTATTAATTCGTTCATTCTTTCTTTACCACAATGATATATAATGCTGAAAGCAGTGATCTTTTACTTCCTTGAGTATTGAGCAAAACTTAGTACTGAAATATAAGAATATCTTTTCTTGTACACACAGTATTGAAGATGCGAAGATCACCATAAAGTTCTACATCACAAGGGAATTTGAGAGGATTACAAAGCAAACAAAATAAACTGGGTGTTAAATGGTCTCATTTTTTAAGAGAAAAAATCTTAATTTTAATTTGCTCTAGAAGGATCCGTGACTGATCCTTTACACACCGCTTTACACATCTCGATTCTATCTTATTTTTCTTCATCACTAATATAACATTGATTTTTCAGTATAAATACAAGACATAGTTGTCTGTCCAGCTTCCTCTATAGCTAAGATTAGTGTGTGTTATAAAAGTCTAGCTAGTGAAATATTTTGGCCGTTTCCACACAAGGAGCATTTGTTAAAAGGAGAAAGTAAGATTTCAGGATACAAAACAACCATATGAATATTCATATTATAAGAGCACAATCCTAGTCACAGTATCATTATTAAAGACTTGGGATTAATTTCACCAAGGAGATGAAACCTATACACTGAAATGGTGAAATTATTTGAAAACAATTATAAGAAGTAGAAAGAAATAATATGTACTTATGAATGAGGAGAATTAATATTATTAAAATGCCCATGGTACCAGAATGATCTACAGATTCAGTGAAATTTATGTAATAATGTCCATAACATGATTCAGAGCAATAGAAGAGTCAAGCCTGAAATTTGTATGGCAACACAACAGTTTCTAAATAGCCAAAGCAACCAGCCGGGAAAGAGATACAAAACTGGAGGCATTGTACCACACAGTCTCAAAATATACTGTGAAGCCACAGTGACTAAAGGGACACCATACTGACATGAAAATTCACAGTCCAGGGAGACCAGAAGTAAACTCATGTACCTATGGTCAAAATATCTTTGGCAGAAGAAAAGTGAAGAAAAGATGGCCTCTTCAATAGTGCTGGGGGTACTGGCTATCCATATTTGGAAGAATGAAATTGGACTTTTCTCTGAAAAGCAGCAAACCAAGTAATCCAATTAAAAAATGGGGAACAGAGCTAAACAGAGAGTTCTCGACAGAGGAATATCGAATGGCAGAGAAACACTTAAAGAAATGCTCATCCTCATTAGCCATCAGGGAAATGAAAATCAAAACGACCCTGAGATATCACCTTACACCCATCAGAATGGCCAAGATGAAAAACTCAAGGGACAACACATGCTGGAGAGGTTGTGGAGAAAGGGGAACCCTCCTCCACTGCTGGTGGGAATGTAAACTGGTACAACCACTCTGGAAATCTATCTGGCGCTTTCTAAGACAATTAGGAATAGTGCTTCCTCAAGACCCAGTTATACCACTGCTAGGTATATACCCAAAGTTTGCTCAAGTACACAAAAGGGATATTTGCTCAACCATGTTTATAGCAGCTTTATTTGTAATAGCCAGAACCTGGAAACAACCCAGATGTCCATCAACAGAGGAATGGGTACAGAAATTGTGGTATTTTTACACAATGGAATACTACTCAGCAATCAAAAAGGAGGAAATCATGTAATTTGCAGGCAAATGGTGGGATCTAGAAAAGATCATCCTTAGTGAAATATCCCAGAAGGAGAAAGACAAACACGGTATATACTCACTTATATAGACCTATAAGATATGATAAACATAATGAAATCTATACACCTAAAAAAGATAATCAAGAGAGTGGACATGGGGTAAGATGATCAATCCTCGTTTAGAAAGACAGATGGGATGCGTATTGAACATATGGCAGGAGTCTACTGAGCACATTTGAAAGACTCTAACTAGCAGTGTTTTCAAAGCAAAGACTCATGACCCAAACCTTTGGCAGAGTACAGGGAATCATAAGAAAGAAGGGGAGTTAGTCTGATGAAGAAAGGATAGGAGCTCCACAAGGACCAAATATATCTGGGCACGGGGTCTTTTCTGAGACTGACATGCAACCAAGGACCATGTATGAATATAATCTAGAACCTCTGCTCAGATGTAGCCTGTGGTAGCTCAGTAACCAATTGGTTTCCCATAGTGAGGTGAACAAGGACTATTTCTAACAGGAACTCAATGACTGGCTCTTTGGCCTCCCCACCCCCCAAGGGAGGAGCAGTCCTGTTAGGCCACAGAGGAGAGCTTTGCAGCCAGTCCTGAAGATACCTGATAAAACAGGATCAGAGGAATGGGGAGGAGGTCCCCCCATTAGTGGACTTGGCAAGGGTCACGGTGGAGATGAGGGAGGGAGGGACTGGGAGGGAATGAAGGATCAGGACACAGCTGGGATACAGAGTTAATAAAATGTAACTGATAAGAAAAAAATAAAATTAAAAAAAAAGAAATTGGACTCTTCTTCCAGAACATAGAAAAATGTCACCTCAAAACGATAAACGACTGAAGCCAGGAGAACCAGGGGATAATTATTTTCTACTTGTTATAAAAAAATAGACTGAAACATAAGATTCAATACTGAAAAGCTACTAGAAAGGCAGATAATATTTTCAAACCAGACCTCAAATAAGGATCTCCCAACCAAAAAGTGTAAAAAGAAAAGCACACAGTTCACCAAGAAGAAGCAAGCTCTCTTAAAAATAAAAGAGGACCTGGACAGATATTTCTCAAAAGAAGATGCAAAAGTGGCCAGCATGTCTGTGAAAAAAATGGGCAATTATTTTCAGAGAATACGAACCCAAACCACCATGAAACATCTCCTTGTCCTGTTATGATAACTATTACTGATTGTCTTTCAGTGTTGGCTAAGATAAGGAAAATGAAGAACACTTAGTGATATAAATTAGTACAGCTCAAAATAGTGTAGAATCTGCTTTTCAAAAATATAAGAATTTAGGTTGGCACAGTGGTGCATGCCTGTAATCCCTGCACTTAGAGAGGCAGAGGCAGGCAGATACTCTGTGAGTTTGAGGCCAGGACAGCCAAGGCTACACAGAGAAACTCTGTCACAAAAACAAAACAGAACAACACACACACATACACAAAAGAAAAATATAAGAATTTACCTGCTTATGATTCAGCTATCCCACTGAGAGGTATATATTCAAATGAAATGAATCAGTGTGCTGAACAGACCTTCACATTTTCACCTTCTCTGGAGCATCAGCCACAATAGTTAAAATACTGACTCAAGTGAAATGCCCACAGATGGATGAATGCTTAAGGAAAACGTGAGATGTACTCACAGGCTTATTATGTACCCATGCAAAAGGACACTTTGCCACTTTTGGTAATGTGGATGAAATATAAAGGGCATGG